TGTTGAGAGTAGTGAACTCTGGCGGGCGTAAATATATGTAAACAAACACGCGTTGTGAATGAGTACTACAACGAAAGAACGTTTAAGATTGCCAAAATGTATTATTCTTTCACTGCGTCCACTTAGTGCTCGAAATTTTTCTCTGGCCTCTAGACTGCTGGAGACGAGAGTACCTCATTTCGCTGCGAAGGGAGATTGTTGAACGTCCTTTGCGAAACGCTCCGTTTACCTTCGTTTGGGTAAGGGTTTGGGTCATGATCACGTCACTAGCGCGATCATGTTACGGTTGGCAGCGGCAGTTGCTGTGTCGGCGACGTAGTATCTTGTAACAATGGAGTCGGCTCAGTCGGTGAAGAAAAAACCGCGCGTCCAGTGGACTGAAAAGGAGACCTGGGCGCTGATAAAGCTATGGGAGGACTATTTGGACGCCTTGCGAGGGCAAAAGCACAACGGTGGAGTGTACCAGGCGATTGCCGAGAGCCTCACCGACGCCGGTATTCCCCGTACACGGGCGCAAGTTCATCTTCGATGGAGCCGAGGGCGACAAGAGTCAGGCCCACCTCAACTGTTGCTTTATCTCTGTCTCTGCGCTGAGACATCGCTGGACCACGATGAAACGCCGCACGCCGTTACTGACCCAGCTAAACGCAGCCATGTAAAAAGCACAAAAAAAAACAAAAATAGCAAAACACCGATTGTTCATAGTTGCCAGACGAACTTAAATTGCTGCTAAAAACACAAAAAAGCGAAAGAAAATTACAGGTATGCGCATTATAAGCCACCAGACAATAAAAAAAACGGTTTTATGCTTCGGCGTCGCTGAATGTGATGTATATGCGCAGATTCTTTTTAAAATTTCTAAGCTTGCTGCTTCCACAAACAGCGCCATTTTTTCTACAGCGTTCTTCTGAGGCACCGCCTAAAGCAGTAGTCCGGTGCCGTGTGTCATCAGCGCCACTCCTTTCTGCAAATGGTCCCCTTAGGTGACAAAAGGGGTTTCCTTCAAAGTACTTTACTTTTGCCCCTGTGTCACGGGTATTACCTCTAGTTAGTATTGTGGGAAACTCTATATTCTAGCCATTGTAGTACCAGCCAACGCCTCCTCTAGAAAGATGCCTGCCGCATGAGAAGAAAAACAGCTGGCACACTCTTTCCCTCTTTCGTTTTAAAATGCTTTTGGTCGCCAGCGTCACTTGTGGCGGACGGTGCAACAACGCAACATTTTGCATAGCCTCCGAAACAGTGATGCACAATTGCAGGTCTCGAACAACTCTCGGCTGACGCGCCCCTATGGGCCGCAGATGAAAAACTCTTAGCTGGTCAGCCTGGTACCCACCGCCGCCGTGGTGATAGTGTCGGTCGCGAGCGCCATTGTGCAGAGCTTGTTTAAAACTGAAGGCAGGCCAACTCCGCTGGGAGCGCGAGCTATTCCTCAGGCATCTTTCTAGAGAAGGCGTTGTACCAGCCAACGTTTCTGGACTAGTTAAGTTGCAAAACTCCCCGCGTCAGACTACTCGTCATACGGCGCCAGGACAGCTTCCGGTTTGGTGGCACTGGCGGCGCAACAAGCTTCCGCTAGCAGACGAAAACGCGTAGTCGTCGTGGCAAGACGCCGTGGCGGCCGTCCTGAAAGAGCTTTGCCAAAAATATATTATCGGTATTTGTTGTGCTGCCACAGAAACTTAATACTGCGTAATATTTAGCGATGTAAGGCAAATACAGTATAATTATGGTTTTCTGAACTGCCCAAAATAAACAATTCTTGATATATGTAGCATAACATACGAGTCTGTCGGTTAGTTGCTAGTTGGTGTACGTTCGCAATAAATTTTTAGACGCGAAAGACCCAATTTCAATATCTGGCATCCTCTTTTGTGGCTTTTGTGTTTTTAGGGCTTGAAAATAAATTACAACTATGTGGCGCAATCTCGTGGCTTTTGTCTGGCTATGTATTCAGCTTTTTTTATTTCATGTCAGTCACATTCTTTAGCAACTTAGACTGTCGAAAAGCTACGCGTGCGGCCATTTTCTCGAGCATGTCTTCCCTCTGCTTCTTCTGGAGTTCCTCTAATGAAACCTTTTAACACAGCTGCAGCCAGAGCTTCGAGCAGAGACCGCACTTTGGGGTATCAATGAGCACTACGTAGTCATTACTCACGTTGCCAGGCGTCTTGGCTAAGCGATGGTGACGGCTGCTAATGGTGACTGTCATGTCTTCTGCGTTGACAACGCAGTTCTCCACAAATAGCGCTCTTTTTTTTTTTTTTTTTGAGCCCTAGAAATACCACAAGACGTCTTGTCTCGCCATTCTCAACAACTTTCCGCCAGCATGCAAACAAACGTTTTCTATGTCTTGAAGCGAAATGACGCCACTAGTTGACGGCATGTCGGGACTTAATTCACTGTCTTCGAGCTCAGTGCTCGAAGATAGTCTATATTCTTTCTCACCGATGATATTCTGGAAAACACCCAACTCCTATCGGGCAGCTTTCGCTTCTTTGTCGCGGGCCCCGCTACAAAGGTAAGCGGGCAAATTCGGGAATATTTGTGGAACGCATCCTTCGATGAGGTCCCACTTTCCTCTTGCGATTTGTACCTTCTTACCATATGACGTGAGTGAAAGTCTTCAGGATGTCCTTCTCATGAAAGTGCATATCACACATACGTGAGGTGCTGGGCAGTTTCTTATCCGCACGAGGAATAGCGTGGTCTCATACCTTTCGCTGCTCAGGTACACGTGGACACAAAAGAAATGTCGTGGTCTCTCATTTCCTATAGCTACTCTACAGCCGAGAACGCAACATCTGTGCATGATGAAAACACGCAACACATACAAAGCAGAAGAGGGCGCGCTGAAGCACAAAACTGTTCACGCAGAAAGAAGCCTCCACAGATATCGACGCACTGCAACATGCACAAGCGATGGAAGTTACGGGAATGACACGAGCGAGCTAGGTGTTCTGTGAGCAAACATGCAGTAAGTGAATCCGGATGCGACAGCAGCGCCACATTTATCACGGGCAGCGACGGCGCCGCGCAACATCGCTCAGTTTTGCAACTTACCTAGTCTAGAAACGTTGGTACCAGCCATAGCCTCCTATATTTTTTTTTATAGGGAGGCTATGTACCAGCCATAGCCTCCTCTATAACTTTGTGCCCGAGCGGTCGGTCCCTCAGCGCCGTCCCCCGAGCTATTATGGGATGCGAGCGCTCCTGGCGGAGCGCCGAGGCGCAAAACGAGAGAATGGATGGCAGCTATGGAGAAAAAACCGGCTTTGAGTAACTACCGAAAGGGCAAAAATGAAATAAGGAGGGAGGCATTTTACGATAATTCAAGGGGAAGCGCTTTACTGTTTGAAGCGAGATCGGGTTGCCTTAGAACGCGTAGTTATAAAGCAAGATTCAGTAAAGAAGAAGAACAATGCACATGCTGCGGGAAAGATAAGGAAACGGCGGAGCATGTTCTGATTGAATGTGGAGATATCCACCCAGGTGTACGTTTGGGCACGAGCCTACAGGAAGCTGCTCCACATCAGCACTCCTACAGCGATCGGCAAGAGCAGCGCAGAATGACGGTGAAGCATTTCCAGCAGAATCAACCACGATCCTCGAGGAGAGCCTCGACAGGGGGAAGACGTTGCTCCCAACGCCAGATGTTGCTGCACTAGCAATGGTTGGTGGCTATATTGCAAGAACAGTCCACGAAACCATTTCCTGTGATGAATGCTTCACTTTGGTGACTAAACCAAACACCTCTGCGCCATCGGATGCATTAATTAGGCACCAGGACAGAGGCGGACTCCTGTATCCGTCAACTGAGCTCGTAATGGTTCTAAATTCTCTAAAGAATTACGCGGAAGTTTTCCTCGCAAGAGCGAGAAAGATGAATCAGCCACTGAAGGCTGCCGTTGACAACGCCGCGCAAATACTACAGAAACGTGACAAACTCAAGTGCTCGACCCCGGGACATCATAAAAAACTTTTGGAGCTTGTGCTCGTGAAGTTTCTCCGCCCACTTTTTCTGAACTTCGCGACGAGTGTGACTGACAAACACGACTTGGCAAAAGATTTTCATGTCAAACCATTGTCTCGAAAAGTGCTCAAGCTTTGAGCGCGAAATCAAATAACAAAGCTCACATTGCATTCTGCATACAGTGCTTGTGTTAAAAATTTGGTGTGTGCGCACTTCTTAACGTATACGCATAATCCAATGCAATGTAGACGGTTTCTAGACCGTCATAAACGCAAGCGTGCATAGGCCGCGTCGTCTGCTGTTATTATGGGATCGGTGCGGCATCTGGCGGCGAGCGCCAAAACTATAAGGGACGGATGGCGCGTATGTATTTAGCGCTAATGCGCGGGCACAAAAAAATATAGGAGGCTATGTACCAGCTAAGCACTTTTCATCTGCGGCCCATAGGGACGCGTCAGTCGAGAGTTGTTCAAGACCTGCAACTGTACATCACTACTTCGGAGGCCATGCAAAGTGTTGCGTTGTTGCACCGTCCGCCACAAGTGACGCTAGCGACCGAGAACATATTCGTTCGACCGAGGAGCAAATATTCGTCACAGGATGAGACATGTGTTGGATGTGGCATAAATAAAGAAACAATCGACCACATAGTCATGGAATGCCAAAAGATTCATCCGGATAGAAATGGGGGGAAAATCACACTTCCTGAGGCGCTGGGCTTCGCGGTTGATGGAAGCATTAACTGGTCAGCAGTAGGTATTACTAAGCAGCGGCTGGAGTATTGGTGGAGGAAAAGCAGAGAAGTCGATAAAATAACATCCCAGCCAAGAGTAGCGGCTGGGCAAAATTAAAAATACATCCGAGTTGAGGGACAAAATTTAAACTCGAACTATTAAGGTAGGCTAAATGGCGCATGCCGTCACCCCGATTCAAAGAGGAGGCCTTTAATCATCATCATCATCATCATTTTAAAATGAAGGAGAGAAAGAGTGTGGCGGCTGTTTTTCTTCTCATGCGGCAGGCATCTAAATAGAGGAGGCGTTGACTCTACCCGAGGGTCGCCCGACGCTTCCAGGACAATTCTCCGGCGACACGCATGCCCTGTGGCATGGCATGTCTTGCGAGTGCGTGTGTTGTTTATTGAGGTGGTCTTCTCTACGAGCTTTGTGCGGACTGGATGAACGCCGAAACAATGTCCAGATTGTTGAAAATGTCGTGCGAATGCAACGGTGCCCACCGCAAACCGGCGAGTATCTTGTCGTTCCTGTCCCATGTGAAGCCGGGCCATCTGATTGCTGGAGTATGTGGTGGACTAGCTTCCACCTTGGCGGTACATCCGTTTGACTTGTTGAAGATAAGGCTCGCTGTGAATGATGGTGCGGTTTCAAGCAGACCCCATTATCGTGGGTTTCTCAACGCGGTCGCTACGATTTTCAGCCAAGAAGGCATCGTTGGATTTTACCGAGGTGTAACACCCAACTGCATCGGCGCTGGCGCCTCGTGGGGTTTTTATTTCTTCTTCTACAACGCCATCAAGTCGCAGTTGTCATTGAGTGCTCGCACCGAACATCTCGGGCCGGGGCGACACATGCAGGCCGCCGCAGAGGCTGGCATTCTGACGCTGCTGATGACGAATCCGATCTGGGTTGTGAAGACGAGGATGTGCCTTCAGTACAACACGTCGCAACTGTCAGATGAACTTCGATACAAGAGCACGTTGGACGCCCTCAGAAAAATATACCGCTACGATGGAGTGAGGGGCCTCTATCGAGGTTTCATACCAGGCGTCTTTGGAGTGTCGCACGGTGCGCTGCAGTTCATGGCTTACGAGGAAATGAAGAAGTTATACCACCACCACTTCGGTGCCGGCAGTCAGCTAGGCACGTTTGAGTATCTCGCCTTTGCCGCCCTCTCGAAACTTTTCGCGACCACGTTGACGTACCCTTATCAGGTAGTGAGGGCGAGACTGCAGGATCAGCACAAGAAGTACTCCAGCATCGCCGACTGCATATCAAGGACTTGGCGATTTGAAGGCTACGCGGGTTTTTACAAGGGCCTAGTTCCGAACTTACTCCGCGTCACTCCGGCTACTGCTATCACATTTGTGGTGTACGAGAACATCTCCAAGTGGCTTGTCAACACTTAAGTTACCATGCAAAAAAGTGCAAAAGTGCCAGACAGTTGTTTTACCATCACAGAGTAATATATATGCTGTTCACATTTGCATTGTTTCTAGGATGCCAGTAATAAGGTAAAATGCCTTAGCCAAAGAAAGAACATGTGGTACAGTGTGCACTTTTCTGTTGTCGTTAAAGCTAGTCGTACAACGAAGTACGAGAGTGCATTGTTGTCGTGTACCACTGTACTTACGCATATTGACAGCACGTTTTTTTCCATTGTTTTCAATAAATATTCTAAACGTGAAGAGTGACTTCAGAAACTTTTTTTTTGCCATACTTTGAGAGTGGAGTGTTGGTAGAAGTTGTCAAGCAGTAAGGAGTCTTGATAGATTCCGTAATGCTTTTGTTAGGGGCCAGTTGGATGAACAGGGCAACGCCAGAAAACCCAGACAAAGATCGCAATATCGGTGATTACTTCCTCCTTTATTGCAGAACTCCCAACAGAGGCTACATGAGTAGAAAACACAGAAACCTCGAGCAATTAAATTTATTATGATTTTATAAAAAGAAAAGTGTCTTCAAGCAAACACTTGAAAACTATTCTGATCTAAATGACGGGTAGTACACTAAACCAAAACGACAGAACACAGTGGGAAAAGTTAGCAAGCAACATAATGGAGGAACGTGCCACTACTCGGTTCCTTAGAAACAACCGCGCTGCCTCCCATCCAGTGCACGAGACAAAATACATTAGTTGCAATTTTGAACTTCAGACGACTGCACAAGATGGAGAGCTCTCGCGCATGGGTCACCAATGAGTCACACCCCAGAGAGAACAAAGAATTTTATACAGTGCGTCGTCAATAGCCTTGAAAGTCAAACAAGTATTCTGGGCATGTGTATCCGCATGCAACAAAAACCATACCTTTGCGTTTGTGTCACGAAGTTATTGCTGCTGCAAGTAGATGAATGCATGCAATTTCGCAGCTGAATATGGGGAGCACAGGTTGTGACACATTGGTGACCCATGATCTCATGAGTATTACCGAGTCATGACCCATGACTCAGTAAAAGCATGGTGCAGTACGCGGAAAATGCAGCTTAACAGGTCAAAGTGTTGTGTTGATAGGTTTACCAAGAAAAATCAGCCTTTTATCACAAATTACTTCATGGAAAGCATACCATTATCCATGGTAAATGAATACAAGTATCTTGGTGTTGTCTTCAACAGCACACTATCGTGGAATGATCATGTTCGCATGATATCAGTTAAAGCCAGTCGCGTGCTGAACTTCCTACGCCGCAATTTCAGAACCGCCCCCTCTGTTCTTAAACAAGTTCTTTACGTGTCAAATGTACGCCCGATTTTAGAATATGCTTGCACTGCCTGGGACCCGGCCACAAAGTTAAATATTGATGCATTGGAGTGCATTCAGAAACGTGCCGCCCGGTTTGTGATGGGTGATTACGACTTCACCAGAAGGTCTAGCGAAATTGTTAGTTCACTTGGTTGGCCATTACTCTCCTCAAGGTGTAAATATATCAGGCTATGTCTTTTCTACAACCTAATAAACGACAAAACTGGGATCGATAAAAACAATTACATCAGACCACCAACATACATATCATCACGACGGGACCATTCTTTGAAAGTGTGTGAATATATGTGCCGAACGTCAACGTATGCAAATACTTTTTTTCCTAAAACTATTCACGAATGGAACAGTCTTCCAAAAAACATTGTGACCGCCCCTTCCACAGCTATTTCCTTCCCTTTTAAAGGAGCATATGGTCACACAGAGATATTATATGCTGCGATTTAGGTATTATTGATTTGTTTTTATCACTGTAGGTATAAGTATAAATAAATTTTAAAAAATCTAGTGAACATGTAAATTTTAGGAGCTTGCTCACCAAGCTTCTTATGCTCGGGGCATCCCTTGGTGTGTACGCTAGAGGCGCAGCTGTGCAGTGCACCCACTACATGCCCACCTGTAACTTCCATGAAGTAGGGAAGCACCCTCTATGCTGTTAGTCATTCCTCTGATAAGCATGGTACTCACTACACATCTGTAAGGCATTATGTGCATTTTGTGCTACGAAGAAGGCTGGTCGACATGCAGACCCCGAAGTAAGAGCCTGTGAAGCTGAGGCGGCAAGAGAACTTCGACTTGGGGACCTGTATGAACATTGCCTTCTCCAACTTTCAACTGCAAACTCCAATTCAAGATCCCCTTGCCACATACTTTAAAGACACAAAAATTGTAATCATCAAAGGAAAAGGCACCCCACAGCTTTGTAATAAGTAGTGAAATCCCTGTATACAATTACATCTCTATGCAAATGATTACAACTTGTGTATATGTAAATGTATATACAATCACCCCTATAACGTGTCACGTCTTTAATGATGGTATGCTCGGGAACAACTTTCTGTGACAATCAAGGGAAAGCTACAAGGGCGGAGCTACTGCACATGTACTCCTCCACAAAGTGATCCGGTCCAGCTAGCTCGCATTTCGAAATGATGGCAGTGTTCGAATAATGCCACTGCATAGAATTTGCAACGTCACACAAAGACGAACGAGTGCAATTTCATGATCATGCATAATCAATGGGCCCGATTCAGAACCATTGTGAAGAAAATTAAGCAAAATATGTAACATCGTGTGTCATCTTAAACGGAACCATCAAGAAACTGCACCGATTAAAGTAAAGGAAGCTTTTCTTAATGAATTTTCAGAATTTTTATTAATCAAATAAGCCTATACAACTTTCTTGTGTAATTTGTTCTTTGATTTCAGTGATGTGATTGACCAAGGCATTTGGCGCAGCTTCTGGAGCTACTAAAATCTCCTTTTGGGGTAGCATAACAATCATTTGGAGCAGTTAGTCGCCACAGATCTTCGGACACCAATATTTAAATTAAGCCAGAGCAGTTGCGACACGTAGTAAATAAAATCCATTTATGCAAGCATGTTCATTGCAGTACTCTTAAACATCAAATTAACTTTTAACTTGAAATTCACGGCTTATCACTTTTAGGGGCGAAGCTCCTAAAGGCGTGGGTCTGTCCATCCCTAGTATGTATGTATGTGACCGCCCATAAGAAGCCGAAGCAACGCATGGTAGCGCTGCGACTCTGGACAGGCAGCGCCATCATTGGCAGAAAAGTAGAAATTGGGGATGTATTTTGCACGTTTTCTCTTCTCGCCAATGTTTTTGCTGCTCGCTTATCTGCTCTTGCAGAGCGCGCACGGTGCATTTGAGTCGCCTCAAAATGTACCGCTTGCAGTGCAGCTTCAAAAAGATCTCTGAGCTAGAGAAGCCCTTCCAAAAAACAAATTTAACGAAAGGAGAAAAGTTCGTTAGTCACGTATATGATGTGGAGCAGACCATTGAAGAAGAGGAGGCTCGAGTCACTGTGAAATGCGTTTCTCAGGCCCGGGACAATACCGTGTACAACGTATGCTTTGAGGTAAGTCTTATTATGTCGACATGAAGCCACGTACTTTATGTGCTGTGTGACGTTTATGAAAATCATATAACTGTTGTTTTGATTTGGTATATAATAGTACGAGTCGTGTACTGTCATGCGCAAATGTTTACAGTGTGCTTAAAAAATTAATAAAAACTGAGCTTATGCGGTTATGATATTAAAATGCCCGAGACATTTTAGAGTCAAGTTGAAGGGCTCGCCTCGTTTTTCTCTGGCTGTTGTGTCATGCTTGCTTTATCTTTCGTGAACGCGGCTCAGTGTGACTGGTGTCGAATGACAGGCAGGGTGGGGTATCGGTCGCGCGATGCGCAACTTGCGCACATGTAAACGCGCACTCGAAGCACTGTGCGGAGTTTAATTAACTTTCAAGCATGTCCTGTCACCTTAATTTTCGCTTTGTATGCACTTCTTAAAAATTTGGGCAGAGTTGCAAACCTGAGGTTAGCTTTGAAACGTGCGCTGTCATGTAACACACGCTACTGAATATATATAGGCAGACTAGTTGCGTGTGAAAAAAAGTGGCAATTGGCTATCAGGTTTTTGTTTTTTCTCCTATAGTTGGTCTGGTCATGCCAGGAAGAGCAGGATCTTTGTATTCGTGAAGGCACATGCAGCTGCAAAGCTGGCATTAAAGCACAGTGCAAGCATGTGGCCGTGGTATACATCTACATAAATAATGAAGAAGTGAATTCATGCACCAGTCAGCTTCTGAGTTGGGTCAAACAGAGCGGAAAACCGAAAAGACGCCTCGAAGAGGGCCTCTTAAAACTCTTCCCATGTCAGTAGGCAAAATACTCATGTGTTATTATCCACCTCTTCGGTGAAGCAAATGCTTCAGTACTGAGCATCTCATACAAGCTTTCTAGTAACATTCTTTATTGTGAGCTAAGAAAAACATATCCTCGGCCATATAGTGCACAATGCGAATTAGAAAAGAAAAATGAACAAGGCAAAGCCAAGAAAAATTTTGAGGGGGAAGGATGTGCAGGACAAGCGGACTCCACCCCCCAGTTGAACCAGAAAAAAAAAAGCTCTTAGTTTAGTGTATAATGTTCATCTTCCTGCTAAAATGATTGATCGAGTCAATCTTCAGTGACAAATTTTTAGATGCGCAGCTTAATCTGGCTGTCTTGGAGATCTTGCTTTCCTGTCGGTTGATAGAGTAGGAGTTGCCTGTTGATTTAAACTTCTTTTCCTAAATGAGTGCTATGTGAAAGTAAAAGACTCTTGATTACTGTCCCCCTCCCCCCACCCCGTAAGTGTCAAGTTGGTTTGCATATTGGTTTCAATAATTTTTTCTAGTAGCAGATGCAGAGTAGGTATGTAGAGTTGCAATTATTCTTAGATTTATGTTTCCTTTTTGATATAAGTATAATGATATTTAGTGGATTTAAAATGAGACAGAATGTCGAGTTGCTTATATTATTAGTGGTTATTAGACTTTTTCTTAAACCTCATAGATATAATTGCATAATTCTCGGGAAGAAAATATTGAATTGTGACAGACGGGCCTCAATAGTTGTTAGAATTTTACCCTTAATGAGTGCAATGCATATAGTTTTCGCAATTTTCACTTCAACTTCTTTTCTTTCTTTTTCTCTCTTTCTTTTTTAAGTCTTTTTTTTTCTTTTCCTGTCTTGATTCTTTTGCTTTCTTTCATTTTTTTTCTCTTTTTTTTCCTTTCTGTTCTCGCTCGGTTGTCTTTTACAGCAAAAGCTGTTATGATATCACAACTCGAGTCACGCCCAGTTGTCCATTTCCGCCAGTGTCCGTAACCACATCGCGCAAAATTAGAAAAAAAATCTA